CTACAATGGGAAGCAAAAGTTTCAATTCCCCCGCCCCTCTCCCGCTTCCGGACTCTGCTGTCTTGGCTAAATGCTCTTTGGGTAGTAGTGGTATTCGTTTTTGCGATATAGATAGACGTATTTTGCGCTATTCAAATACAGTTTTTCAGCACCCGCACGTCGAGCAAATGCTCGTGTCCAGATGCGAAGAAAGCACGAAGCCCCTGTAAAGGTTTGTGCTTTTCGAGTGTCAGGTTTTCTCGCTGTTTGCGAGCTGGTGTAATCTAGGGCCTAATAGTTGCGGCGCATTTCTAGCAGCGTTTTTAGCTAGTTGACTTAAACAGCAGCATTCCCATGCTGGTTGGGTCCTGGTGCGAATGCTACGTGTAACATCTTGTTCGCTGCGGATGCTGATACGTTTTACGGAGACTGTGTTTGGCTCAGCGCCATCTATTTCTTCACCACTTATTAGATCGGGGCAAGCGACAACAACTAGGAGAAAACGTTTTGGTGCCCCGCCAAACCATGCTCTCCCCTTGAGAAGCTCGTCGTCCCAGCGAATGAGACTTCACTCTACTTGTAATTCCACCTTCGATTCCTTCCCCGCAACGTGTATGTGTTTAACCGCGCCTGATGTTGATATAGCGAAGTGAGGAAACACCGGGCTTCTGTTTTTTGTGGCGTTGAGACCGAGACTAAAAGTGTTATTGTCCGAGCAGTGGTTTCTATCATTGTTTTTGTGTACAGCAATGTCTGCAAACCATAGGGCTTGTAAAGCAGCGTAAAGTGGAGACCAGCAGGAAAAGCCTTCCTTGCCAACTGATGCACACTCAGGATGATATCCTTGGTGGAGGAGGTCGCATTGGCAGAGCTTTAATCCACGGCCCGTCCCATATCCTGTCACTTGCATGTATCATTATTGCAGATTCAATCAACATTTTCAGCCTGGTCCACGTCAGTGCATTGAAACGGAATGTACGAAAGTAGCTCGAGATGGCAGTAAATACTGCAGCGACGAATGTGGAGTCAAACTGGCAAAGGTTAGAAGGATTCATGCGTCTTGGTTCTTCGTGAGTAGTGTGCAAATGCCTTTTGAAATAGATCGCGGTGCTAAACTAGGGGGGGCACGCGGTTCTCGGCCAGTGATGACTCATCGACTCTTCTTTTCATGTTTAGGACATAGATATAAGATTGTCCTAGCTATATTCAAAAGATAAAACAGTTAACTCTGAAGAATGCGAAAAAACAGTTGTGGACAGGAAAATTTTGCCTAAACTTGTTGCTTTTTTGTTGTAGACCGCTGTTCTTGACTACAAAAGATCATACAATGTTGTTTTCAGTTTCTGTGGGATTTCTCAGCAAGTTTCCGGTGGGTCTCTTGTTTGTTTTATTCTAATTTTGCTGCTAGATTAGTATGTCAACGCTGCTATCGATCGATGAGTCATCACTGGCCGAGAGCCGCGTGGCCCCCTCCAACTACGTTAGCACCTAGATCGCTCTTCAGAATGCAGTTTATGTTAGCTTATTTTTACATAACCATGAATTGCGGCAAATTTTTGAAATTCTGCTACACTGCACTTTACGGGATTCCGTCGCGAAGCCTCAATATTTCTGTTGTTTAGACGGAGTTCAGGCTTCGCGATGACGCGCGTCGCTGCGATACGAGGCGCTGCCATTGCAATAGCGCTACATTGGTACGGGAGTACGCCGTAAACGAGTATTGACGGCGCTGGCTGCTGGAGAGAGAGTAGAGGAGAAAAGGAGGGTACATGTAGCCTAATTACATAGTTTCGTACCTTCCTGCTCATTTATGCTCTCCCGAAACACAAGCGGCCGGCGCCGATCGATAACCCTCTGTGGCTGCGTTCCCGTCTAGCACTGGAGCGCTAGAGTAGTGGTGGCACGTCTGCACGCGCCATTGCAAAGTATGAGTACTTCCTTATTGTGAGAGAGGTCTCACTTTCCAGGAGTGGGAGGTGGGAGATACGCGGCGAGACTAGCTCGCTCCATTCGTGACTGTCTGCGTTAATCTGAGGCTGAGCTCGGAGATCACCATCCTGGTAATAAAAAGCAGAAAAAAAACAGACAGTCAAGCTGTTGCGCAGCTTTCCGGCGCAGCTCGGCGACGTGGGGGGAGCATTTTGCACTTTTGCTGCTTCACTAGTTCCGGTGAAGAGTCTCATTCTGGTGAAACCTGTGAACATTGGTGGAGCTGGAGCAATTTGTCGAGCTACCATGGTAAACCTGTCAACTCTTGTAAGCTCATGAAATAGCTTTCTAGATGGCTCGACACGTCGATGGGAAGTAGCAAAAGTGCAAAATGCCCCCCCCCCTCCCCTCCGTCACTGAACTCCTATTTCTTTCTGGTGTTTCTGCTACCATTTGGTTGGCTGTTCAATAAAAATTATCACATGGACTTATTCCGCACCTATTTTCAGCTGCGACTTCTTACGTTACTACCCAAAAAGGTTGAGGACTATTACAGAGAACAGCCGCAGTGTGAGGTATGTTGAGGCACTTTATGCTTATTTTATGTGATGTTTCGTATTTCACTGAATTCTGCTCATGTAAGTATAGCTACGAGCACTGGAAGAATTGCGTGCAATTGACCAGAAGATTGGTAAGATCCAGGTGCAGACGGAAACTATGTTGGGCTACGTACGGGCTATTCAGAGATACGTTTCGGTGGGTTGACTCTGCTGCATTGTCGTCTCTAGAGGGATGGGTTCGGTGCAGTGCCAAACCCATCCCTCCGGACAAGCCCCTTCATCCGTGGCAAAAGGGATTGTATTTGTCATCTGGTCAAATATTGTGTGGTTTGGTTACAGGCGATGAAATCGACGACGTCGGTAAGCTACGATGAAACAGGAGATGTTGACTTTGTGAGTTTGGACTTCCTGTTAAAACTAGTTCATACTTCGCGATTCGATCTCTTGGATTGCGCAATAGGACTGCTCGAGCGATGGGATCGCAAAGTATGAACGCGCTCTCAGGGATGTGATCCTCTGGGCATGCACTTCTTGGCAACGTTTTTTGCATATTTGCTTATATTAAGATGGCGAGTTGTATTGTATGTGGTATGGAAACGAATGGACGTCAGTTACCCAAGCATGTGGAACGTTGCTTTGTGCGCTCGGAGAAACAGACATCTTTCGGCACAGCCACTCCTGTGAGTTTTTCCTTGACTGTCCTTATTTAGCGCAAAATCAACTGAGATGTCACTGAAGTGTCTAAGGACACACTCCGCAACTACTTGATCCTTAATTATCGTGCAGAATAGCTAAAACCGCAATCGCAGGAGTGCTTATCCAATTTGTCGCGTTTGTATCTTGGGTCTGTGTCTTAGCGCCCTTGATACGGGGCGCCCCCCCTCCCATCCTGCCTGCCTCCTATCCTACTCACTTGGTATTTCCTTCAAAAATAACCTAACCCTTTTCACGAATTTTGTGGTGATTTTCTCCAGTTTTGATCTGGCGAGGCGGCAGCGGCAGCGAGTTTGTCACCAAACAGCTATTGGCTTATCCCCTCAAAATAACCCTAGCCTTTTCCGAATTTTGGTGGGGTGATTATCCAGTTTTTTCTGGCGATGGGACAGGCGGGCGAGCTTTGCCCACCAAAAGCTACTACTTCAATGTGTGAGAGTTGTCGCCGGGTGTTGAAAACTTGGACTACGCTGCAACATTGGGGATTGGAGGAGGGGCACGGGACAGTCGTGTACAAACAAGAAATCAACTCTCAAAACAATACCGGGGCAATACAACCACGCATCCCCTTACCACAAAGACGACTCTCGCTGACGATCCCTCGTGGCTCTTGTATCCTCATACATGCAGTGTCTCCTGCACGCCTCTCGGTGTCTGCTGCGAGAGGTCCTGCAGAGATAACTTGGATTGAGGAAACCCGAGGTCCGTCGCCACAGCGGTGATCGTCCTTAGTGGCAGAGGTAGGAGCGGTATATGCGGCCGAGAAAATGTTCTGAACGAGTTCATATTGTCCCAGTTTACGCCAAGCAAATCAACTGCCCTCCCCTCTATCCCCAAAAATGGTATGTAGTCAAAGATTTGTAAACGATATTTTTGTCGTTTGAATAGTGGTCCGTTCATGGTAGTGGCTCCCCGCGCTCGCCAATATTGGTGGAAAACGAAAAAACGGAAATCTCTAGGAACGGAGAAAAGTCAAGTGATGTGTTAGAATGGAAGGGGTCATATCAAAGGAGGTGAATCGGAGGTGTATGGTGCCCGAAAATTTCCCCAGCACGTGAAGTACGTGCTGAGGAAAATTTCAAGGATCGTACTTGGACTCCCTACGACTTCAATGTGGGATGTATGTTGGCTGTGTTCAGACTTTGCGTCAGCTTCCACGAGCGTATACCAGCGTTTCGAGCTTAAGCCAGCGCACGGTATTAAGAAAGTATAGATATCGATCCAGCGAAAGCCAACGCCTACCAGCGTCCACCAGCGACTAGGAAAGTGTGTAGTACCGATACACCAAACCACTTGCGTTGCAGAACGTTTCAGGGTGTTTCCAGTTTTCATCGAGTTCGAATTGCTAGCGAAATCGCTGGCCTTCACTAGATTGATACTTATACAGTGCAGTTCTCAGCGGACGGTGGGGCGGTCCTAAGGCCACGCTGGCTAGCGGCCCGATATTTGCCTGTTGGTCGAAAGCCGCAATAACCTTGCCCCTGCGTCTCTGACACTGACTTCTGCGCTCACGACCACGCCCTTCACGAACTCGACCGACTCTCCGTTCTGGACTCTCGCCGATCGATAATTGCTCCAGCAGCTGATTTTGCACTTTCGCAGTATTTTTTCTACATTCAGCTTGAAAAGCTGAGATTTCGACTTTCAGATTCAATCGTTAAAGGTGAGTATTCTTACTAAAATGGTATCACAATTTGCATGAATTTAGCTTGAAATTCCCCTAGAAAACATTTTTTTCCTTCTATTTTCTTCACTTCTTTACATTTTCTTCACAGGCGACTTCAGAATAGAGTCAGAGATGGTTCTCGATAATAACGAGATCACATCTAAGACACTACTTCGAAAACCCGTTCAATAACATAAAGAAGTGGGGACAATAAGGAAAAGTTTGGACGAATTGCGAAAATCAGAAGGAAAAAATGTTTTCTAGGGAATTTCAAGCTAAATTCATGCAAATTGTGATACAGTTTTTTAGTAAGAATACTCCTTCAACGACTGAAGCTGAAAGTCGAAAAATCTCAGCTTTTTCAAGCTGAATATGGCAGGAATTCGGAGAAAATGCGGCAGGAATCAGCTGATCGGCAGCGTCAGCCATTATCGATCGGCGAGAGTGCAGGACGGAAGAAGTGAGTAGAGGGCGGCGGGATGTGTTAGAGCAACGCAGAAGTCCAGTGTCAGACGCGAGAGGCCAATGATGAATAATTTTCCAACAATTTCTCGGCTTTCCATCGACACGCAATCAGCGGAACGCTCGCCGGCGTGGTCGTAGGGAACGCCCCACCGTCCGGTGAGCGCTCCACTGTACTTACCTAGTCTCTCGAGATGCTGGTGGACGCTGACGAAAAGTATGAACGCATCCTTCGAATTCTAATCGTCAGCGGTGTGTGAATGTGGTGTGTGGAGAAAAAATTATATTATTATGCTTCATTTAGGTCCTCATTCAATCAGATTAACCCTCTGGAGCATATAACAAACTAAACAACACCTACTGTAAGCGAGTACGAGTGATTTGTGCTGAACACTACAAAGGTGAACTTGAAAATGAGCTGCAGGTCAGACATTACAAAGTAACTTGACCTTTTGGAGTCGTGCGGTTAGCTATTCACTGAAAGCATTTGTTTCCAGGTGTGTGCATATCCGAAGGCATGGTCTGAGGGGAAATCACTCACGTTCGCCGAGATGTTCGAGCATGGTCCAGATCTTCTCAAAGATTAAGCGGGTCGCCTGTGCCTCCTCCGTAAAGAGTGCACCTTCAACATCACCGATGGTTCAGGTTAGTTCGCCAGCTTTGACGAGGTTCTGAGCCAAATTCCAGTCACCTAGCGGTACTTGCTTGCGTACGGAGTCGAATGTGACACGTAGAACGTGTTACACGCGTGGACGAGCTTCTGAAAGACGAAAAGTTGTGTCTTTGGGCATGTCTACTCGCGGGGACGTGATCTCCTTGCTGAACTTTGAGGCAAGTAGTTTTCAAAAAAATTGTTCGCGAAGCTTTGTACCAGCTTTTCTGTATCGATAAGAAAATTTCGAGTTCAGCTGACGTGAACTGTTCCGCGATTTCGATTCGCCTCACGTTTTTCATGTTACTCAAAAAACATGGCATCCGCTCGCAGAGGGAACCCTTTCCATTCAAAATGGGGAAAGTTCAAACTTGTAGAATTGAAACATTCACGCCATTTCAAAATGCGCGGCAATGAAGCTAGAGGCTCATGATAGTTTGCTGAATCTTCGGCTGCGATTTAATACGCACGCCATCACCGGGCCGCACGGGCAGCTGTGCGCTTAATTACAGCCATACACGCTACATGTCTGTGCTCTCTCTCCTCTCGCTGCAACGGCGCGGCTTGAATAGCGGACATAACTGAATTAGAAGCTCAGAAATACAGGTGGTATGCAATATCCCAAATGCGCGTAAAGTTGAGTGTGCAGGAGCAGCGGGTGCACACAACACGCGTATAACATAGTTACGGTATACCCAGTTGTGTGCACTCATGGCCGACACATTTAATTTCACGCACAACTTCCGAGGTACTGTATACCGTCAGTCTTCCCGCACTTCTAATCTTGTACGAGCGAAAAGTGGCATCAAAGTGTTGAAAGCCTCGAGTTTCATGGCGTTCACTCTGGAATGTCGGGAGTACCAAACTTCTACGGCTGCTCAGCTCGTGCTCGGAAAAGCACCTCCTGTAAAGTGCGTCTTTGAATTCCTCCAGCGATGGTTTTGTGAGTGGTGAGACGCTGCCCCAGGTAGAAGTTTGGATATGGGGGAGATCCATGTTTTGACGCTGGGAATGTAGCATCACAGTGATGTGGCATGAGTGGTATTCGCACCAAGAACTAATAAATTCGACCTGGCAGAGCTAGAGGGTCGTAGCTGTGAATCTCCGCTATCTCTGCTGCGCTCCAAGGGTTTGAACAGCAGTGCTTGCACTGCACGGTGAGTTCACAATGTCCGGAAAAAAATTGTCGATTAAATTAAATGTGGTGGACTCAAGTAACGACTGCAACAGCGAACACATTGAAGAGTATAGTTATCAGCACCATGAAACGTGTGAGTGCTGATAGGCTACGGCATAAAAGCCGTTAAGCTGAGAGGGTAAAAGCGGCCCTGGTGGCGTAACGGATAGCGCACTCGCCCGGAAAGCGTGAGGTGCGGGTTCGACTCCCGCCTGGGGTTCGACTTTGCCCATAACTCAGCATTCTTATGTTATCAGCACCATTTCCCTCGCTAGTAACTGAACAAAACAACTAACAATAAGCAGCGCAGTTCGGCGACGGAGGAGAGGGCGGAGGGAGGAGTGCACTTTGCAGGTTCTCTGCTTCACTAGTCCTGCTTTACAAATCCCACCCTGATGAAACCTATTTAAGCTGGAGAAAGCTTGTGATTCGCCATGGTAAGATCTGTCAACCCTTGTAAGCTCACGCAGTGGCTCTCTAGATGGGTCGGAACGTCGGTGGGAAGTAGCGAAGGTGCAAAGTGCCCCCCCTCTTTCACCGAACTCCCTCGAGCTTTGGAGCCCTTATGAGTTTGCGTGAAAATGGTATGCATGGCGTTGTTCAAAAAGACTTTCCTGATCCTGATCTTGTCTTTTCAGCCGCCCGTGGTTGAGCCAAGTGGCAATTCCAAATAAAAACGGTCCACGTCTCTGTGTCTCCGAGCTCCGACTACTCTCTCGATCTCGTCGTTCACGGCTGGTGTGTGGTACACGTGTAGCAATGACGAGCCATTATCTATTGTATTTCAGCACTTTCATTATAAAGCTCATATTATTGTTATCAGATGCCATTCTTGTTTGTAAAGACTATATTTACTATTAAATGAATTATAAGTAAGATTGTTATCTTTGTGTGATGTAAATTGATGGGCAAGTTCCCTGACTCTAATACGTTTTATAATAAAGAAGTATAAAATATGTTAACTGTGGCCGTGAATAGGCAGCTATCGCGAATTTTCTTTGTTCAATTAGGGCCCATTGCAGACAATGTGGGAGCAGCGAGGGCGGGACTGCATCCTTGTTGCCCA